TAGGCACTTTGTAAAGGGTTGCAGAGAAAGACTGGGTGTTAAACGGCTGAGGGTCATTCACTACCAGACTTTCCACACACAAAAGCATGTATCTCGTTGCTGGAAGACACCGCATATGAAATCATTATGTGTTTTAAAATCGACTCAAAATATCAAACATTTTTGATATCCTCCAACTATATGGAATCATAGTCTGAGGCTAAAAAATGGAGTCTGAATGCAATTTTCTGAGAAATTGTTCGACTGCCCAAAATCATTTAGTATCTACAGTAATCAGATTGAAATCACTTGAACTCGCATCAGAAATATTTGTAAGAAAAGGGTTATGCACCCTGGCTGAAGTCTAGCATACGTCCACAGAAAATCGAGGTATGACATAAAAAGGAAACATTTACCCCCGGTTCTAGTCTAATGCATGTTTGAGCCATTTTAAGCAAGTTATCTTAAAATATGTCAGTGCCATTGCTACATTGTTACCATTTATTTGATAAAAAAAATAAAAAAAATCTTCAGTGTCACAAAATCATTCTAATATGAGGATTTGATGCTCAAAAAACATTAATTATTATTATCAATGTAGAAAACAGTTGTGTACACTTCGTGTATAGGATTATTTGATGAATAGAAAGTTCAAAAGAAAAGCACTGATTTGAAATAGAATCTTTTGTAGAAATAGAAATGTTTCTTGAGCATCAAATCATCATATTAGAGTGATTTCTGAAGGATCATGTGACACTGAAGACTGGAGTAATGATGCTGAAAATACAGCTTTGATCACAGGAATAATTTTTTTTCACTTTATTGTATATTCACATAGAAAACAGCTGTTTTAAATTGTAATAATATTTCACAATATTAGTTTTTTTTCTAAATATTTTAATCAAATAAATGCAGCCTTGTAAGCAGAAGACTTCTTTTAAAAACATTAAAAAATCGTACCGATCCAAAACTTTTGAATCGTATGCAGTTTGGCCTAGTATGGACTTTTGCTGCTGCTGCATAGTGTTGTAAATTAGCAGTTTGACTATAACACTAAAAAACAATGTATCTGGTTTGTCCAATGCTGTTGTTATGTCCATATCAAATAAATAAATAAATAAATCTAGGCAGGTGGAGCTGGGGAGGTGGAGGAGTTCAGGGGATATAGCTTACAGCAAACACTGAACCAGACTATTTAAAGGGTAACTAAACACTAAACCAACTTTTTTTAGTTAATGATCTGTAAGACTGGGGTTTTATTAGTGCTGTTCATTGATTCGAGTAACTTTTTTGACATTTGGGTATAAAGTGTTTTAATTCTACAATATATGGTGTAAAAACGTCTGAGTGCTGCCCTCTTCAGGTTAAACGGTGGCTCCTGCAGTTGAATTTTCCTATTGGATGTTTGCGGTAGTTCGTGACGGTAGCGGTGAGAGCTGACGTAAGCAGGTTTCAGCTTACCACGCCCTTGGTACGAGCTACCACGCCCATGGCAGTATAAAAACCATCTTGTTTTGTCAAAACCACTGTAGCGAGTCAGGAGTTGGAATTGCGAGTATTGAAAACGATCAGGATAGAGTATCCGTTCATCCCCTCTATCTCCGCTGGGCTCCGCCCACTTTTCCAGCATTTTTCAAATATTGCCAGTAGGTGGAGTCAGGCTCTGACCAGGGGTTTATGGCGCTTTTCCACTGCATAGTACGGTACGGTTCGGTTCGGTACGGCTCACTTATGGCGCATTTCCACTGCATGGAACGGTACGGTACGGCTCGCTTCGGCTCGCTTTAAATGGTACCTGGTCTGTTGAGGTTCCAAGCGTACCGTACCGGTACTAAAATGTGACGTCAAAACACTGCAGATCACTGATTGGTCAGACAGACAGAATCGTCACTACCAGCGTCATTGTATTTGCGACACGAGACACTAACCCGCTAGATTTAAATAGCCAGCAGTAGACAACAGCCAACGCTGTAGCACCTGTTTTTAAAGTATTTGCTTGAAAAAAGAAGATGAAAACTTCAAAAAAAGAAATGGCTGAATCGTGGTCAGTGGACGAGGTGCAGACGTTCCTCTCGTTGGTTGCCGAGGATTTGCGCAACTATAACGATCAGTCCCACCCACTGAAGCGGTACTACTGCAGTGGAAAAGCAACCGAGCTAAAGCGAACCGAGCCGTGCCGTACCGAGTCGAGTCGTACCACGCAGTGGAAAAGCGAAGCGAGCCGAACCGTTCCGCGCCGAGTCGAACCGTACCGAGCCGTACCATGCAGTGGAAAAGCGCCATTAGTTACCCTTTAAACGTTGAGCAAGCATCTCATTGGCTGCAGGATCAGCAGAGGCCAATTAGCTTGAGGCCATATGCGTTAATTAACTTAAAGGTGCTCTAAGCGATGTCACGCGTTTTTTAGGCCAAAACATTTTTTGTCACATACAGCAAACATCTCCTCACTATCCGCTAGCTGCCTGTCCCCTGAACACACTGTAAAGAAACGCGATCTCTGTAGACAGCCCAGGCTTCACAAACAGCATCAAAAACAAACTGCGGCGACCCGCTCCCCGAAACATAACAAACAGTTCCAGCCAATGACCGACAAGAAGGGCTTGGGGGCGGGTTTTGGGGGGGTTAGTGCGCGGATGAGGAGGGAGGGTCTAGCTAGCCTACGTTTTGTTTGACAATAGTTCGAACGTCAACAAGAAGTGACTTCACCCAGGATCGCTTAGAGAACCTTTAATGATGTGATTGTTTGCAGATTGCATGTAAAGAACCGATCAGCCTGTGCACTCTGAAGCTGCATGACTGAACTATATGCTGAACAGGACAGCCTGGCATGTTTGAAAAAGCATAACCATCCATACGTCATCTACCTTCCCACATCTTTTTCATCTTCACATATTCGTTCAAATCATCATACCTCCATAGTGATGCATCCACTGATTCACCTTCACCCATCCGTAACCCTTTTCTTCTTCAGCACAGCCACGGTGATCCAGATGAAGGCAGTTCACTCATACCTATCAGATAAAATGTGTGTGAACAAAATGAAAAGTGTCAGGTACATTTTATGGTGGGGCACTAATGCTTTGCTTTTGATATGCATGTGTAACTCTTAATGGCAAAACTAATGAGGTGGTATCGTGATGTATAGCATTATATGATAGACAGAGTTCCCTTTCTCCAGTAAGAAGAGCTCAGTAGAGTAAAGCGACCTGAATATCTGAGCTTTGGTCACAGGGGAATGATGCACAGCTAATGGGCACAACTGCTATGAATGGAGGATACTGAGCACTGATTGAACAAAGACATTCATTAAGTCATGTGTAAGCTGCACGCATCCATTATTAGGCAAAATGCAATTTTACAAAACTAGTGTGGAAGTTAAATCACTCTTTAAATCAACATCAGCTGCTGCCACAACTATAAAAACACGTCAACAGCTCAAAAAAATGCATTTGAATATTTGAATGATTCATAATTTCAAACATTTTCTGAAGAAAATTTGAGTATTTCTTGTATTTGCAGACCACACCACCATAATGCTAGTTGCATTACTCTTGATAAGGTGTTCAAAGTGGTTTTAAGCATGTCTCTATGCAGTTTCAAAAGGCCTAATAATTGGTTATTAGCCACAAAAACTATAAAAGTGCATCCTTACTTCTAATGTGTACTATTCACTTTAAATAAAGCATTCATTGCTTTATAGGGTAAAACTCAATACATCAAGGCATATTGACATTAAAAACATAGACACACACACACACACACACACACACCCAACAAAAAGGATACTGTAACAGATAATGTGCTAATGCACTTTAGGCAAACATGTTGTGTATTCTGAGGATCAGCATTAGTATGTGATTATTGACGTTCTATGCATTTATTAATTGGTTTTCCCACAGCCTTGTGCTCAAAAATGGAGCTGGCAAAAGTAACTGATGAAACATAAATGTGATACTTTTGATAACTTTTTCTATCTTTTTGAATTATGTCATCATGACCACAACCTTGAAGTGAATATTTTTTCCACATATAATTCATGTGCATGTTTTGAAAATTGCAGGCTCCATTTTTTAAGGTGTTCTGAGTGGTTTTAAGCAATTTTCAAGTACAAACACTGCTGTGCTTGATTTGAAGCTCACTGTCATGTGTGATGATTCACAAGTACACACTCTCCACCAGAGGTCAATAGGAAGAGGAAGCGGGTCACACTTTTCTGTTTGTTTAGCATTTATATGGATCTGCAATAAAGGATTCTCCCACTTATGCCATGCTTCTTCCCTAATCTGTGTGACAAAATTTAAATTTTACGAATATACCTGTAAAAAAAAAAAATTTAGATCTCATGGGGACTTTAAATTATCACAACACAAACCAATAAAGGAAAACGTCAAAGCAAAACTAATTTAACGAACCACATTTATATTTCACTTTTTGTAGTGTTTGCTAATAAGTGAACCATCACTATCATTATATTTCATATTAGGGTTAGTGATTGAGTAAACACCCTAGCAACCAAACACAGCATACTCATGACACCTTACGTTACCTTAGCAACTACATAGCAAAAGGCCTGGAAACCACGCATTACACCATATATATATATATAGTCTGAACATGATATTAAGATGGTAATTAAGACGCCTGCACGTGATGTTTCGATGCCGATTGTTTAGAGTGGCGTTACCATGATAAAGCTGTTTTAGCTATTTCAATCAATATTCGTTACTTACACCAACATAACGACAAAATGATAAATAATTAATGTTTACATGAATTATTAACGTTATTGTTTAGAATGTTATTTATATTCACCCAAATGCTGTAAAATCCAAGCTAAGTGCTATCAAACTCTCTCAAACTGTCAATCTCGTTGCTAAGGAAAGGCGGGGCCAAAGTTTCCATTTAAGGAAACGAGGCTTAGGTGACGTCATACACTAGCCAGCGCCCCTTCAGCTGCACGCGCGCGCCTTCAGCGGTTGAGAATGACGTTGGCGTAAGCCACCTTCAAAAATTGAGGAAAAAATAGAAAGGCGATAATAATTTTTTCCCATACATTTTTTCGAGCCGTTCGCGTATTTTTGTTTTTGTGAGTGAATATACTCTCTTTTAGCAGCTGATGTTGATTTAAAGGGCGTTTTTTTAGTGAGAGAGAGAGAGAGAGAGAGAGAGAGAGAGAGAGCGAGAGGGAAGGGAGAGAGAGCGAGGGGGCGGGTGTCTCTCGCTCTCGCCTCGCGCAGCCTCACGCGCTCACAGATTCGCGTGAAATCAACACACGGACGGTTTACTTCCACATTTATCGCTTATTTTCGGGATTTTCGGGATATACAACACCATCATCGATGCGAGGCCTTCTAAGGGACACTCATCGCTGATATTAGTCCCGCATTTCTTCTGTTTTTGTCGTTTTCCCCCCTCAGTGGAGCGTTCGTTATGAATTCCAGCCCGCTTCCTAACGGCAGGCTCCTGCCGGACAGCCAGAGCTGGAACTCCTCCGGTTCCGACGAGGATCTGGAAGCCGAACCGGGTCCCGGACCGCACGGAGGGGTGTTGGAGTTCAGCGGGGTGCTCAGTAAGGTGGGTAAAGATCTCGAATAACGCCTCCCGACACGGGAAAGCGCGTGTTTTTGTGTGTGTTTCCACCTGATCCGATGTAAACAAACGTCAGTCAGTTGGCTTAATGTCACGAAGCCTGTCAAGAACATGTTTAAAATCAAAAGGTAAAATAGTAATTATGGATCACTGAGATATTTTGCATGGTAACATTATTTTAATGACACATTTTTACCCATTTTACACCACCGTAATATGTCCTATGTTCTGTCCCTCAGTGGTGAAATACTACAAATACTTAACAGTCAGTTTAAATGATATATAAATATTTGTTCGCATTGCGGTAATATTAATTTGGTTTTATTTTTCATGGTGATTTACAGTGCATGGTGACCATATGCTGCTCTTTAGACAGCAAGCCTCAAGGTTATCTTAACCAAGACTGTTTTTTGATTAATGCTAGGCTAAATACGTGATGCATAAATGTCTTTCCTTATGCGTGTATAATCAGTATAATTGGGAAGGGATGCAGCAGGTCATGAGCTGAAGCTCGAGTTTGTGTGGGTTACTAGAGTTCATCTGCTCGTCTTTTCTTCCTGATGGGATTAAACGAGAAAACCTCTCCTCATGACTCAGACAGCTGTGATGAGAGGAGCGTTTTCCATAAGAGATTACTGAATTACTCCACAACATGCAATGGCCTAAACCCCTCCCCCATGGAGGATATCTAAACATTCAATATAATCAATAGTTGTATTGTGCATCCAGTGTTTATTGTCACAAGTCAACAATATGGCTGTGTGCATGCCAGTGTTATTTTAGTATCATTGATGTACTTTATGTTAATATTTTGAATTAGATTTTATTTGTAGGCTATATTTTAAAAGTAATTTTGTTGTGGTTACCATTTTTACTATTTTTTGTTTTTATGTCTATACTCGCTGCGTCCGACTATGCCTACCTCCATAATATATAGTAGGCGAAAAGCAGCATGTGAGCCGAGTAGCATGTCTGAAATCATAGAAACATCTCATAAAACGGTAGACGAAAAGCACTTGGATGAGATTCTAATGTGTGTATTCGATGGACACTTTACAATCCCATGAGGCCACGGGAGAAGATTTGTGAATGGAAGTGATGCGACGCAACTGATGCCGTAGATCACAAGACAATGACGACATGGCGGATGTAATATGTTATGGTTTTTTAGTTGTAGTTAATAACAACAACCCTGGTGCACCACACATATTTGTTCACTCTTTGGTTTTCTCATAACAATGTTTCCTCTTTTGTGTTCCCTCTCTTCAGTGGACTAACTACATTCACGGATGGCAGGACCGCTGGGTCATGCTGAAGAACAACACTTTGAGTTACTACAAATCCCAAGACGAGCGAGAGTATGGCTGTCGTGGTTCCCTGTGTCTCAGCAAGGCTGTCATCACAGTGAGTATCCTGGGGAAAGATCCCTCCAGACAGCCGTGGGAATTTCACAGCCGAGGCAAATTTAGAATGATGGTGTGCATTCAAAACGAAAGCTTGAATGGGTTCAAATTAGGGATGGGCATTATTAATCGACGATCGATAATTGATCATTAAGAATTTCGTCGATCATGTTAATTTGTTATCGATAAAACTAAAAAAAAAACTAAAAAAAAAAATCCTTTCCTCTAAATCCTCGCTTGCCTGGCTTATGCTACTCCGAGCTATGTCTGAACTTTGTATTTTGAGCACTTCTTGCGTTGCTTTTGCCTCTTCACGATGACTCGCTTGGTTTAGTCCTCAGTTGTAAGTCGCTTTGGATAAAAGCGTCTGCTAAATGACTAAATGTAAATGTAAATGTAATATGGTTGCGTTGCGTAATGTGAGCCTTGAAGCAATGAACCGCTGGATTGCACCACTGCAGACGGGTGGAAAGTGAACGGAATAAGTTGTTTCCCGGGCTGGTCAAGTTAGCGCAGAGGTACCTGTGCATCCCGGCAACGTCAGTCCCCTCAGAGCGGGTGTTTTCGGCGGCTGGACTGAAGAGTTTGTTTACACTCGACCTCGACGCGTCCGCACAAGCACGAGCAAAGGTGCGCGAGGCAAAAATGACGTCATTGCGGTATTCGGCGTTTTACAGGCGAGCGCGTGGAGTATAAACGCCTCGTCCGTTTGCGGAGACTCACGCTGCAGAGCCAGGCAAAAGTATAAACGAGGCTTGACGGTCACCATGTTGCGGTCGCGTCTGACCCCAGGCCCAGTCCATGTCATCAACATGCTTATCTTTCTCAACAAAAATCAGTAGACTGGTGCAGAAGTTTTATGTGAGTTAATAGATATTTTTTTTGAGGCTTTGTTAAGTAGCCTAATTTGTTGCTAGGTAGGCTAATCTCTCTCACACTCTTTCTCGACTTCGTACCTTGGATAGTTTTGAGTTACATTGAGTATTATTATGTTTTTGGTTAAGTTATTGTTTAACATGATTTTTTTTATTATTATTTTGGAACAAACGATCGGGTTTCTGTTTGAGGACGCCAACTCGCAGCTGCCGGTTTTGTTGCTTTTTAGAGCACCGCAGCGCATATTTCAAGTTTAGCCGAATGTCCAGTTTAACTGCCGCAAGTTGATTATCTTGTAATAAAGATCTCATCGAGGAAAAACACGCTGTATTTTTGTATTTTCATTGCATTTTTAATTTATAAAAAGTTAAATAAATAATTAATTTTAATATATAAAAAATATTAATGATTAATCGATAGTCGATCGTTAATTCTCCCGACGATCGACTAAGAAAATTTAATCGAATGCCCATCCCTAGTTCAAATCGGAGATTATGCTTAAGCTGAATGAAGATTAGCAGGGATACATGATATTTCACTTGATCAAGTCTGATTAGGCAGATAATATAAGGTCTCATATTTCTATTTCTCTCAGCTTAAGTAGTACTAATATTATATTGTACAAAAAAAAAAAAAAAAAGTATAACTATATTTTCTATTGTACATTGTAATATATCAATGCCTGATAACTTGACTTGAGGCATGTGATCTCACAATAATAACCCTGTGGAAATGCCTATGTCTATATATAATTCAGTGAAAACCTCATTCATCGTTTTGTGCCATCGAATCGGTTATTGGCTGTTTGCATGGATGAAATGTCTGTATTGCAGAATCTCTTGAAATTAGATTTGGTTTTATGGTTGTGCTTTATCTAAAATGATAAGCGCTGAGGCAGTAGATGTGCTGAGAGCTCTTTTTATGGCAGGGGAGAGGAGAAAAGAGATTGACGGAGGGCAGACAGGATCCTTTGCCAAAGGCAGTCGGCCAGGCATAGACAGACTGTGGCCTATTCCCCCCCCCCATTCATGGTAAAATCACGCGTGCGCACCTGCAGAAGCCCAGAGACACTGTGTACTTTGCCTTTTAATATGTCACGTTTGACTTCTTACTTAGAGAGTTCTTAACAGTGGCAGATATTGCTGAGTGCATTCAGTATAGGTGCTCAGGTAACTATTAAATGCATAATGCATGGTTCAGTTTGACTGCTTATGATCTGATTTGGCCCAGATTGCAGACAAACGGAATGTAATGAGAATTCCCTGCATTGCGTTGAAGATTAACTCATGACCACACACAGATTTCGACATGTGCTGCAACAGTCCATGCCTGAAGTGTCTTGAGTCACCACTGAAAATGAGGAAACGGGGCGAAGGTTGTGTTGTTATGGAGACCGCTGGAAAGGTACAAGTCCTCATGGTGACCCTGTTACCGTCCTTCAATGATTAAACCAAAACTCTTTCCAAAGATACAGGGAAAGGAACACACAAGTCTGTGTGAAACCGAAGCATTTCAGCCTTAAGAAAACTCATTAAAACACCCAAATATGAAAAGTGAAGTCTGAAATAGTCAGGCATGGTGAATGAAGGGTTTTCGAGGTCTGTGACAGTGTGCTCTGGTCGTTCGTGTTTAAAGCGGCCGGCTGATGCTGTGAGTTCGACATTCTAATTTGATGTTTTGCATTTTGGCTTTAAGCGAGAGAAAAATGGCTCCTTTGTTTTAAGACTCAGTGTGACGTGAGAGTGACTTTTTTCAGCTGTGTATTTGTTGAGCTCCAACCATTATGGTTCAGCATAAATATTAACTTTGGTATTAAACACAAGCGTGTGGACTGGAAATGTAACATTTAGGGTACAAAATTAACTTTTCGCCACACCAGCCAACGGTGAGTGAATTGACTGAATTTATCAGCCTTAAATATTCCTTTCCAGCTATGAAACCTTTTTACATTTAATGTTTTTATTTTTTAGGTGATTTTTTTTTTTTCTTGTGTGTTAGTTTCAAACAGTGCAGGTCATTGTGTGCATCATATATATAAGCCATTCCGCATCTCTCTGACAGTCAAAAATAGGACATTTTCTAGCTTAATGCAAGGGTTTTTCGAGAAACGATGCACAAGCCTTTAGGGCTGTCACTTTACGTTCGAAAATCGATTGCACAATCGATCGGACCAACCAACACAAGTATCGAAAACGAAAATAAGGAATCGATTTTAACGGCCTTCTCTCGGAGCGCGTCCAGCTCGTCACGACACGCCCGCAGCGAACGCGCGTCACGCAGCAACTGCAGGCTCTGACAAACACACATACAAACTATACTATACTTCTGCATAATGTGTCTCTTTTTACAACAAAAATGTGAATTCTGCCGGTATTCATGACAGTCTCATGCATACAGATACAGATTCGGCCTACAATCGCCTACGTAGGCGAAATTAGTAAATTTCTAATCGTAAACACAGCCATGTCGAAGCCTGCAGTAATATTTTTCATTGATGTTATGGCAGTCCACTCTGCTTATTGTTTTTCGAGAATCTTGCACTCCTGTTTGTCATTGTGCACGAAACTTCATGCCAATAAATCATCAGAAATATTGCTGACTTGTGCATGTCTCAAGCGCACTCTTTACGCTCGTCCTAATGCCTGTTAGTTGTCCGTGGATTTGCCTATATTTGGCGTTGAAAATGGAAACGTCTTTAGACATGGAAAATCGATTTTACAATCGATTCAATGATCATTTATGTCTCAAAAATCGATCAGGATTTTTTCACAAAAGTGACAGCCCTACAAGCCATGATGAATGTTTGTATGTCTTCGTATTGATTTGCTTTTGTCGCTTACATCAGCGAGGAACAGACTCTTTCTAACCGATCGGTTTCAGACATATATTATGTTGCAGTTCCTCATAAATGTAACTGCCAGCTGGCCACAGTGTTTAAACAGTTTTTTTTTTACTCATGTTTGGCACTTGGCTACTGTTCATTTTGGACCCTGGCCACTGGACAAAGTATTTTTTTGTAATCTCAAGAAGTGCACACATTTTTAGCATTCTTTGTGCATCTCCTATAGACCTTATTCACAGCAGCGCCATCTTTCATTTTTAACGGGAATGAAAGCGAGGCTGTGAGGGATAGACATTCATCTCTTCAGTGGGTTGTACTGTTATTTAATACGTTTTTGGATTGTTCTGCTGATGAAAAATATCTTTCCAATAAATTTCAGTGGACCAAAAACTCCCGACAATATGAGCTGTTGAAAATGATAGATTATCTAGGAGTTTATACAGCTTTTTACAGCGGATGCCACTGAAAACACGGCAAGTTTCTCCCTCACAGCCTCTCTTTCATACCTGTCACGGCTCTGCTCTGAATAAGGTCTATTTCTCTTCCTCAGTAAATCTGTTTCCCTCTGAATGCCGGTCTAGAATACGAAGCAGCTTTATTCAGATTTATTCAGCATGCACATGGCAGCAAATCTGCCCTCATAAATCCTCACAAAAACAGGTTATTGTGTCACAGCGCTCTTCCTGCCTGCTATTACACTGTCCTCACATGACTCACACACACTTAAACAGGTCACACATCACGGGTTTAAGTGTCTAAGACCACAGGACCACCCCAAATTCAGACAGGCTTAACCCTTGCAGACACAACAGGATTATACCGTCCTCATGAATATCTGATTCAAACCCAGAATGCCTCACTGTGCGTCCCTATAAAACTGGGTCTCGCTGCTTCAGCATCAGCATATTAGCTGGAAACAGTGTTAATTATGCTTTTTGTGAGACACTCAGGCTGTTGAATTGGACTTGATTAGATTAACGAATTTCAGACCTCGAGATGGAGACAGATTGTGAAGGATCAATCAGTGTGATGACGAAAACAATTTCACAGACACTCGGCCTGATTTAATCGGTCTGTCAACATCACTTAACCAATCCAACATGCTCTTTTTCACATTATTAGTGATGATCTACATAGGATAAGTGCTTTTAGCAAACCTCGAAGTTTTAAAGTATTAAATTGAATGTGCAACTTATCCCAAGTTTTTTCTGCATTTCAGTTCATAGTGTTTTGAGCTGGATCTGTTATCAACAGCCGTATTCAGCACAAGAAAAAAACCCATC